TGAGTTTTAAGCCACCGGGTCCGGGACGCAAACTGTGGTCGACTACGTGGGAGTCCAGTGACATAGCCATTACGCTAACTGCTGGTCCCACCTTATTCTATTTTAAAAGCTATTTAGTCCACATTGATATCATGCGTCACCCATTAGAGGCTATTCATAGCATGGTTCATTCTCTATCACTGACTACCGTTGTAACAGGAGTAACAGTGAGGAACTGTTTAACAACTGGTAGCATCAACCTGATGATGGAAGAGAAATGCTCTGAAGTAGAGCTCACACTGGAAACCACCAACAGATCTCCCTAAAATCCATGTTTGATTTAGAAAGTTGTGGACTGGGGCCTGAGGTTCTTTTTTTTTTTTTTAATCATTTACAAAAGTTATTTAATTGCCAGAGGGTACATGCAGAGCAACAGAGAGAGAGAAAGAGAGATACAGAGGGTGTGCTTCCCAATATGATGTGGTCATGTCACAATCCATTCTCTTCCATTTCTCCTGGGACTGGGGGCATGCCATGTACACATGTCTGGTTTAATTCTAAAATTGCTAGGGCTGAGATTCAAACCATTGTCAGTCATACAGTATCTGGCTCCCTTAACTACTAACCTATAGAGCTAGCCTCCTCAGCTCCTGGGTAATGACAGTGTTGCAGGTTGACAGACCATACTTTGAACAGCAAGCATCTAAAGTTTCGAGAACCTAAGATTTACACTCAGCTGCCTATGATCACCAAGTCTCTGTCCTTTCATTTCATCAGGGATTTTTTAAAGATCTTCTAGTCAGTGGACATTTTCCTAAAATGACATCTTAAAAGAAGGCCCCATTTCTTGGGGCCAGTGGATGGCATAGCAGTTATGTTCCTGGACTTCCACATGGTCAACCATGGTCTGAGTCCCAGATCAGGTGACTTAAAACTCAGGCTGAACGTATGTTTATGCATGTCCAAGATCTTGAGAGGAGAATAGGAGAGAAGGGATTGTGGCATGGCCATCCCTCCTGGGGGGCAATTTCTCACTTTCCCTCTCACTGTCTCTGTCACTCTCCAGCAAGTACAAGCACACTAAGGCAAAAACTCTCAAAAAAGAAAAAAAAAAAAGACGACGATGAAGAAGGCCCCATCTCTTGCTTATAGAACCTTTGGTGAAATTATATTTAACCTCAAAAACTCAGAGTCCTCATCTGTAAAAGGGCAATAGAAATAATAATACCTATTTCACATAGAGCTATTTATAAGGTAAATGTCTAGTATTTACTTAGTACTTATATATAAAATAGACTTTTTAAGTGCTAGTTGTTAGAATATAAAACAAATTAAAGTAAGCAATATTGATTGCAAGTGGTAGGTTATGAATTTTGGAGGGCCCACATACCATCCCCCCGATCCTCAACATGTCTCATGGCCTTAAGACCACCCCAAACAACCTTTAGGGCTGGGCGTAATAAATGGAAAAAGGTCTTCCCTAAAACCATGGAAACAGAAGACAGATTATTTGTTCATTCTACAACAGTTATTGAAAGTCTATCAGGTTCCTTGTATGCTGGGTACTTCCCTAGGCACCAGGGATAAGGTACATCTGCAGCCTACAGTTTAGAGCCACTGTAGCTTGGAGACATCTGGGGAATTTATAAATCATGTAGCATTATACATAATCTGCAGTACTGTATGATACTGACATTTTTTTTTTCCAAGTGAACTAAGCTTCACATCAGGGAGGCATCTAACTTACCGGAGTGCAATATTCCACCATGGGATAGTGCATTTTATGGCCTTTCGCAACTCGACCAGAGAAAAAGCAGCTTTGGAAAATGTCATAATTAAAGTGCTTTAAACTCCTGTACCTAGTAAAGAACAAAAACAAACACATATGTATTTCTTCAAATCCAATCCCCAAAGAACACTCTCTAATAAGCCTTCTACCACATTGTCTTAATTCTAGAAACAGAATGCAATGTTCATTAGTCCCACAAGGTAAGTGATTAACTTCCTACCTCCAGATTTCTCTGGTGCCTCTCCTACAGTATCAAAACATTTTGGCAGAAAGATTATCCTATAAAACATATGGAAGGAGGGAAGAAAAACACAGCTCTTATTTAAACTCCACTAGGAACTCTTTCAGACTAAGTAGGAAGATACTGGCAAACTTCCAGTCTCTTGAGGACCAAATGCTCAAATTTGAAAGAACTTCTAAGAGAAATAGATTGATATACTGCATGCCCTCTACTCCTCATGAGGACAAAAGTTTTATGAAGCTTTTTTTTTTTTCAAAAAATTATAAAGATAAAGCAATTGCATAAGACAAGGGAGACTTAAACAAGAACTCTCCATCTCTCAATGAAAACAAGTTTGGCTTTAGTTACATTTTCCAACTGACTGACATGATTCATTTTCCAGCAGTTACTTGGGTGATTTCCTTTCTCTCCCTTTCAAAAAAAAAAATCTCCCATATTACCCACAAATGATGACTGAAGCTCCAAGAAAAAGACAAAATTTGGATTTGATGAAGAACTTATATTCAGAAAATACTCGTCAGTACATTTCCCTCCCCCAATTTTCAGATAACTGTGTTGCATCATACCCACAGCTCCCCCCCGCCCCAGGCTTTTGTGCTCTCAGTAAGAATCGGTAGCTAATCCAAATAAATATATTCCTTATGATACATATGGGAAAGTGGGAAGAAATGCTACCTTATTAAGATCTCAACTATCTTTCAAGAGGTGGGGAGGAGAAAAGAGAAGTGTTCATTCCTAAAATGATCTGCTTTGATAAAGACAAAAGAATTGAAGGTGGAAATGCACTCTTAGATCCTCTGCTGTATTCTTTTTTATTTTATGAAAATTTCTCTCATATACAAATCCCACTTGCTAAGGACTTGCTAAAGAAGCTGAGAGAAGAAAGGTAAGAAATGTATCATGTAATTCAGTCACCTCCCCCATGCACCCCACTCCCATGGCATGATTACCTGCCAAACACCAGGAAGACAAGAAGATGTCCTTTGTAACCACTGCCTACTCACTGTTTTCTATCTAGGCTATAGAAACCCCTAAAGGTTTTTGTAAAACCTCTTTGTAAATAACATGAAATATGGAAGGATAAACACCAAGAGTGAAATAATTCCATGAATAAAAAGCATAAAAAAACAGCCCACAGTAGCTATTAGGAAATAAGGTAACAAAACAAGTCTGAGCATAACTAGGAAAGAGTATTTACTTAGCTGCTAAGTGGATTCTGAACAGGCATAGACTATCCAGTTAGTTTACAACTTTGGCTTATTCATCACTATGGAAACCTTGTCGTGGATTCAGATGTTTAAATACAGCATTGTTTCAGAATTAGGATTCAGGATTATTGTTAAATAAGGTTAATTTGTTTTAAAATATCCTGTCTCCCCTCAGGTCAATAAAGCTAGAGATTTAAGAGCCTATTGTGTATCCCAAGACATTTTAAGAATATAAGAATAAAAACCTGCTCTTTCCTATCACTTTCACTTTTGAATTGTTCAAGAATTTGTTTTTCTGCTCCTTTGTGAATTTTTCATTTACTTCCTTTTTAAAAAAATTTCCTTATAAGTCCATTAGGAAAGTATGTAAGGAGTGTAACCTGATTCACGGATAAAGTTCTAGGATGCTTGAAACAACTGTTGCTTAAAGGGAAAATGTGGTGCAAAGCGAGTAAGACACTGAGCTACCATGATGTTTCCTCCCAGGATAGAATCATTTCTTAGTTTTTGAACTAGTTCTTGCAGAGTTTCTATAAATAGAAAAGATATGAATAAAAGAAAGAGATGGTAAAATCTGTCTTGGTTCCAGGAAGTAGGAGGTAGAGTTCATCTGTATGCCCTCGACAAACATTTCTCTAGAGACACTTGGTCCCATTCAACCAAAAATGTGGCTCTGAAGAGTTGAAGAGTGAAGCTGGAAAGGGACACCTGCCTAATGACTCAGATTCACCAAAATAACCCAGTGATTAGGGGAGTGACAGGAGTGATCGATGTTCCAGCCTAATCACCTTCTCTCCCACTTTGGAGAGGAACAACTTCGTGACAACTGGCATTGGAGAGAAAAGATCAAGTTATAAAAAGGTAAGAAATGGTAACGAGAACGTGATGATTTTTGTGTTCCTAATACCTGAATCCGATGATTGGACACTCCTTGCAGATGTTACACTTGGCCTGATGCTTGGCAGTTTCTGCAGCAGCCACTCTGTGCAGGACGGGCAGCCACACCATGGACTGGGGTTCCAGTCTCATCCAGTCTAGGAAGAGGGCTGCTTCAATCTCGGGCTTATTGTTAGCCTGCCAAGACAGGAGAGAGAGAAGGAGGGCAAAAAGAATGTAAGAAGAGGTGAGGAAGTAAGGGAGGCATAGGGCAGTTCAGGTAATAAGTTAAAATGAATTAAAAAAAGGAAAAACAATATAGTTGCAAATCCAGGTCTGCTTTTCTCAGCCTGTTACCACAAATGTCCCCGTGACACCCACAACAGCCACCTGTCCCTAAGGCTTTGCTAAGATAACCATTACTCTCTTCTGGCTACTAAATGACAATAAAACAAAACAAAATCAACAAATGAGATAAGTAAAGCAAAATACATACCTGAGACTATATTTAGTTTCAATTTTTTGAACAGATATATAAAAGTTAGCCACAAATAAATGCAAGTGGTTATTGATAATATTTCAAAAAAGGGAAATAAATAACTCAAGGACTATTGATTCTTTCCTGGAGAATCTATTTTCCATAGAACCATAATGTGAGATTTTAAAGTTTATCTGGTTCCATGAGAGAGAAAATGAAAAAGAAAAAAAAAAAAAAAGAAAACCCTCCATAGGACATGGTCACACCATAATCCCTTTTCCATTCTCCTCTTGGGATTTGGGGCATGCACGCACATGTATCCAGTATGTTTCTCAAGCAGCCAAGTCTGGGACTCAACTGTGCAGTTGGCCATGTGGAATCCAGTTGCCTTAACCACTAGGTCACAAGCTGGCCCCATTATTTCACTTTTATCTCACTTTTTTTGTTGTTACTGTTGAAGTCAGTAGTAAAGCTGATTGTTGCTCCTTTGAAAGCAATCTGTCTTTTCCTGTCTTCTGTTGTATTTGTAAGGTTTTATTTATATGAATTAGGACTCACTGGCTTCTTTAACATGTGGTTTACAGTCTTTAATCACTTCTGGAGTCTTCTCAGTCATGATCTCAGTAAATAATGCCTCTTCTCCATTCCTTTTCTATTTTGCTTATAGAACTCTATTAAATAACTGTTATTTTCTCACCCTCCCTTGCTCTGTACAGGCCTGGCCTAGTTTCTCCCTTAAAAAAAAAATCCTGCCTCACTGGCTTCTTTAACATGTGGTTTACAGTCTTTAATCACTTCTGGAGTCTTCTCAGTCATGATCTCAGTAAATAATGCCTCTTCTCCATTCCTTTTCTATTTTGCTTATAGAACTCTATTAAATAACTGTTATTTTCTCACCCTCCCTTGCTCTGTACAGGCCTGGCCTAGTTTCTCCCTTAAAAAAAAAATCCTGTTTCATGCCTAACAATTCTTTCTTCCCTATTGTTTGAGTATTCATTTCTATCTTCAGCCACATCTAGTTTGCTGTAAATCTTCAAGTTTTAAATTTTAGTTATTGTACTTTTTAATATGTATAAATTCTATTTATTCATTTTTAAAGTCGCTTCTAAAGTTGCTGTTTCCTGCAGATACTTTTCAATGTTGCCTTTTTATTTTTCTAACAGAGTTTCCATGGTTTAAACCTGCTATTGAAAGTAGTTAGATTATTTAAGAAATTTTGTAAATTAATAAAATGTGGGGAGAAAAAGGAATGGAAAACAACTGTAGACAACTGCGGTTTGAGTCCCAGATCTGGTGGCTTGCTTTTTCACTTTCTCTTTCTCTCTCTGTGTCTCTCTCTGGTAAATTTAAATAATAATAACAACAACAAATAAAATAAATAGATTATATTTTCTGAAATATGATATTAACATTGGTCTACTGGTTCTCACTTACCCTGAGTTCTTTTTATTTATTTATTTTTTGAGAGGTTTCTGTTATAGGGCGTGTGTACTCGCCAGAAAGACAGAGAGACAGAAAGCAAGAAATTACCCCCCAGGGGGATAGCCATGCCGCAATTTTTTTCTCCTCCATTCTCCTCCCAGGATCTTGGGCACACATGCACAAGCGCCTGGTGTGAGTTTAAGTCACTGGGTCCGGGACTCGAACATGGGAGTCAACTACATGGGAGTCCAGTGACATAGCCATTATGCTAACTGCTGATCCCACTTACCTTGAGTTCTTGTAGGCCTTTTTTTTTCCCTAATTACTGCTATCCTCTTTTCTTTTGTTTATTTATTTTTATACATTCAACCACTTTATATCATTATAGTTTGTAAAGTGAATTTTCCCAGCAAGAATACACTGTGTATTAGTCCAGTTAAAGGTATTATCATACATGTTACCATCAACAGATAATTTCCATTTCTGTGTCCCTTAAATGTTTTGTTCTTTTTTAATGCACTACAGTGACCTTAAAAATATTTTCTGGAGATATTTTGAGCACTATGAAAGTGCCTTCTCCAGTCCCGAGATGGTTTTCGTTTGCTTTTGCTAAAATCCAGGAGTCATTACTCATTCTACAACCAATTTAAGCTTTCAAGCTTCTTAATTTTCCTGCATAACATAGGATACTTACTATCATTCAAGTAATGAGTACTTGAACTTCAAACCCTTGTTGCGTTCTTGGAATGTGTTTTATTGCAGAAGGCTCTATCCATATTTCAGACAGAAACTGACAGGTCATTTGGCCTGCAACACTGAATGGGTGAGCAGTACTCTAGTTGGTACACCTTATTATAAATTTAACAACATTATAATGAGTTGTTTAACCTTGGATTTCCTAGCTGCAAAGTGGTATCAGTTCAAAGTATTGATCAAAAGCTTCTGTTGAGTACTTTCCTCTGTGTAGTGTTATAACAGAGGTACTCTATGGAGGGGAAAAGAAAAAGAATCATAGAACCTGAAGAGGAAAGGGATCCTATGAGTCAATTCTTGCTTTCAGAATTGCACCAAAGAGCTACAAGACCTTCAGGATTCAGGGAGTGCAAACTCTTACCCAATGCAGTGTGTTCTTAACAGTCACTCTATAAATACCATCCATGTGAGAGAGGAAATGTCCTCAAAGGGTGAGCTTGAACATCTGTGTACAGATAACCCTGGGTCTTTTCTTTTTTTGAGAGAGAGATTTTTGCTATTAGGGTGCATGAACTCACCTGAGAGACAGAGAGAGACAGATGAAAAGTGATAAATCACCACCACCACCCCCCCTAAATGGGGTGGCCATACTGCAATCCCTTCTTTATTCTCCTCTCAGGATTTTGGACATGTATGCACACAAACTGGCATGGGCTTCAAGCTGCTGAGTTCAGGACTCAAACCATGGTTGGCTATGTTGGAGTCCTGTGCTTAACCACTACGCCACCTGCCAACCTTCAAGTATCCCTGTTTAAAATGCTTCATCTCACTGAACTGAAATCATCCAGCATAGCGGTTGGGGAAAAAGGCTTGAGTCAAACCACTAGAGTTCAAATGCTATGTTTGCCACTCACTGGCTGTGTGACCTGGGACAAATAACATCCTCTCTCTGTGTCTTAATTTTCTTCTGTTGTGAAATGGGAACACTGTTTCCTACTTTGTTTTAAGATTACATGAGATAACGAATGTAAAGCACTTGGAACAGTGTCTGGCACATAACAAAAATTAAGTTTATTATTGTCATTGCTATTGTCATTATATTGGGTCGTTGGAAAAGTTATGACACATTTTTGCATAGAAAAACATAGAAAAGGGGCCAGTAGGTGGCATGGTGGCTAAGGAAGCTGGAATCCCACATGGCCAACCACAGTTTAAGTCCTGGACCTGGTGACTTGCTTTCTCACTTTCCTTCTCTCTCGCTCTTGCTCTTGCTCTCAATCTTGCTCTGTCCCTCTCTGGCCAAATTAAAATAAATAAATATATAAAGTTAAATTAAAAATAGTAATTCTTTAAAAAAAGAAAAACAGAAAAAATACATCATGACTGGGACCAGCAGTTGGTATAATGGCTGTGTCGCTGGACTCCCATGTAGTCAACTGTGGTTCAAGTCCCAGACCTGATAGCTTAAACTCACACCAGGCACATGTGTGTGTGTGTGCCCAAGATCCTGAGAGGAGAATGGTGGAGAAGGGATTGTGGCGTGGCCATCCGTAGTAAGAGGTGATTTCTCGCTTTCTTTCTCTTTGTCTTTCTGGGGAGTGCATGACATCAACCCAATAGTATCTGACTGGAAAGCCATAAACTCTTGGCCTTCACACAGCCCTGTAAATATTTTACCAGACCTATCAGATATGTACCTTTCTCTTCATCCCTATTCCTTCTATTTCTATCTCATATAATATGGCTTAGTTTGACAGTGTCCTCTAGAAAATATTCTCCAAATATGATCAGTTGGAAATGGTACCTCCATTTCTCTGGATGTTATAATCGGATTACTTTCTTTTGTTTTATCTTATAGGCTTAGACAGGGTTTCTATTCAATAAAATCTCTGGGTCAGTGTTTCACAGTGGTTCCAGCAGATCAATCATCCAGCAAAATGTTTTGTGAAAAATTAAAAAAAAGGTCAAATTAATTAAGGAAACACTGCACATTATATTCACCTCTTAAAATTCTTAATACACATTAATATAGTAAAAGCTGCAAAGGTCATCAGTACAGAAAAATGTTAAACTTTATTTGACCTTGGAATGTCCACACTTATTATTCAATGATCCCCAAACTTTTATCCATTTTTTAACTAATAAAGCCTGAGAACACCACACAGTATTAAAGCCCTGTTGGGCATTATGAGAAATGCTTTTCTTGGCTGTTTCCCATTATTCCTCCCATCAAATTGTCCAACTGGGGTTTCTTTCCTTTCACTTTTGTCAAGAACTCTTCTTCCAGTTTGAGTGCACTGTAAAATTTCATCAATATTTTTAAGAATTCTGACATTTCAGGCAATGAATTAGCCATTCTTTCCACCTTCAGGTAATCAGGATATTTTAAAATGTGTTCTTTCATCATAGCAAAGCCACTGGTGAAAATATCAGCTAGGCCAAAGTTGAACATGAGCTACTCCACTACAGCCTGCACCTCAGGTCAACACAAATCCACAATTCAGTCCTCTGTGGTTGTTAAGCTATGGATCTTGCCAGTTATATCATCATCCAGTCTCTTTGCATATATCTCTCCATTGTGTAGACAAAGACACAGTAAGAAACC